TGTGTGTGTGTGTGCACGTGCCTTGCTTGCCTGTCAGCAGTGGCTGGCCTAACGTTGTTTAATGAACTTACAACTGCGCCCCAAATCAACAGCACACTCGTGAAGGAGAACCATGGCGAAGCAGTGTACCCGATGAACAGACACACACACATACACGGGCACACACACACAGACATACAGACGCACACACACATACACACAGACACAGACACACACACACACACACATGAGCACACACACACAGACACACGCACGAGCAACAACATCGCCATCAGCATCACCTGCACCCGTGCGTGCGCGTGTGTTTGGTGTAACACTACAGGTCGCCGAGTTCGTGGTGATGGACGTCGTGTGGATTGAACGTGTCGATGTTGTGGAGGAGATGGATGTAGAAGTTGAGAACTTTCTCGTACGCATCGACAGATATGCGCTCGTTTGGGCCGTGCAGCCGCGGCGTGTCAGTTGGCTGCAGCGGACACACACACACACACACACACACACACACACACACACACACACACACACACACACACACACACACACACACACACACACACACACACACACACACACACCACGCACCAATGGTGGGGGGTCAAAATAATGAGTGCAACGTGGAGCGGGCTGGTTACAAGGTGAGCAAAGCGCAAGCAAACAAGACAATTACAGGACAGGCAGACACACACACACACACACACACGTACAGACACACACGCACACACACAGACACACACGCACAGAGACGCAGACAGACAGACACGCAGCCAGCCAACGCAAGAACCCCTGTGTCTCCTTCCCTTTTCCGTTTCCCCAAACACAAGCGCACGCGCGCGTACATACCCCCATGACGACGGGCATGAAGCGGTAGAGGTTTGGCGTGAGGTTGACATAGTGCTTCGTGTCTGTGCCGGCAATCATCAGCGCAGGTGCCACATAGTAGTCTGGCCAGATTTGGCGAATGCTTCGCTCCAGCACCTTGAATCCGCGCGTCTCGCACGAGGACGTGGGCAGGGGCTCCACGCTGTGCACAATCTCAACAGACACGCGCGCGTCGGCGATGATGGTGATATCGCGAGCAACGACGTCGGCCACCGTCTCGCCAGGAGAGATGCTGGTACATGTGGTGGTGATGGGCGGAGAGGGGGGGGGGTTGGTTAGTTGTGGTGAGGTGGGTTGGAGTGGTGATGGGTAAGGTGGCGAAAAGGGTTGGTTGGTTGGTTGGTTGTGGTGAAGGAGGTGGTGGTATTTGTATGGTAGCGGTGAACTTGTAATCATGGTGGTGATGCAGAGGTGCTGAAGTCCATTTTTGTTGAGGTCTTTGGGTGGTGATGACGGTGACGTGGTGATGGGCGACAACAAGCCATGCGCATGAGAAGCTGGTACCGGTGGTTGACGAGCGCGGAGACCGTGTGGGGCAGCACGTTCTCCTTCACACCGCCCTCAATCACCGTCTGGGCGCACGATGCAATGCGATGCAATGCGCAATGGTGTGAGGGTCTGCACTTGAGTCATGCACTTGGCACACATATGCACTGGCACGCAGGGGAAAAGCAGAGAGACGGACACAACTCCCTCACACACACATACACACATAGACAGACAGACACACGCACGCAAAGACAGACACCAACACACGCACACACATATACAGACAGACAGACACACACACACATAGCCACGCACGCAAAGACAGACAGACACACACACACACACACACAGACTCACGCATGCACACATTCACACACAACAACACGCGGCGAGCAGACATACGAGGGCTGTGGTTGTGCGCTGGAGTGCATCCGAGTCTGATTTGAGCGAAACGAACAACTAATGGCATATGATGTGACAGTCGCAGAGGCGGTGGATGTGGATGTCATTAGATGATGGCAAATCATGGACGATGAGCGATAATGCACATTCCTTGACACAAGCACGCACACACACGCACGCACACGCGCGCACGCACACATACATACACACCTTTGCGATTGGGGCGAAGAGCCAGAGATTGCACATGATGATGCGTTTGAGAAATGGCATTTCGGGCGCCAGGTGCGTGATCATATCAAAGAGGGCACCGTTGATGTGCGCTGGGAGACGTTGGGGGAGGAGGAGGGGGAGGGGAGGTAGAGGAAGGTGTGAGCGTGGTGAAGTCACTGATGCGTGAGCGAGCAAGGTGTGTTGCTGCTGGTATCGTTGACTGAACAACCACAACAATAACAACAACTGCCTGGTTGTCACCTGGATGCGGGTTCTCGTGCAGCCGCGTCAGCGCCCTGGAGAGAATGGCAACAGCTTGCTCTGCCAGCACATGGCATTGCAAGTACCCCCAAGGGGGAGGGGGGAGGGTTGTATGTGTGTATGTGTGTGAGCGGGTTGGGTTGCACGGGCAGAGCCAGGCACACACACAGACACAAACACACAGCCACACACACAGACACACAGACACACAGACACACAGACACACAGACACACAGACACACAGACACATACACACACACTTACACGCACGCACACCAACAACGCTCACCCTTTGGCGGTCTGCTCGAGTGGCCGGCGCCATCGTGGTCCATGTGCACCTGCACGCGAACCGTGAGGTACCCCTTCTCCGATGTGCCGATGAGCGCAACGGGCCGATCAATACCGAGCACATCCGTGTAGATGGGCAGGCCTTCGTCCAGCAGGAACTCGGGGTACCACCCGCGCCGCACCAGCTCGGCGGATATCACGCTCGCTCCCTCCTGCACACGAGGCAGCGGTGGTGGCGGTGGTGGAGGGGGGGGGGAGCAGGAGGGGTACGTGCCACATGTCATGTGATGTGGTGTGTGATGTTATGTATTGTGAATGAGGTTGCAATTGAGGTGAGAAGATAAAAGGGGCAAGGAAGGAAAGAGAAGAAGAGGAGTGTTTGGACGATGACTTGGGATTATCAGAACAAGCGATGGTGGCAATGACGACCAGCACTCGCAAACACGACGACCAGCACCACCAAACAACAGGGACGGGCCAATCCGCATGCCAACGCACCACCCCGTTGACCTCTTCGTCGTGTCCAAATGCAAACAGGAGAGTGCGCTGTGGGCGGTAGTCGAAACCTTTGGATGCGAGCAGGAACTCCACGGCCTCCATCATCGCCGTCACGCGCGTCTGGCCGCAATGCAGAGGATGATCAACGCCGGGGATTCGTGGAGGGAGAAGGAAAGTGGTGGACACGTGAGAAACGTAGTCACGTGCACGCATGTCTTTGACAATAGGACTAATGCAAGTGATATGACAGGCAAAGCAGACAAGCAAGCAATACACACACACACACACTCACAGACACCGCCACACACACAGACACACACTCACAGACACAACACACAAACTGTTGCATCATTGCATGCACCTTGTCATCGAGTGCTCCGCGACCGTAGATGTAGCCGTCATGGATGCCGGCATCAAACGGTTCGTGCTCCCATGCGTCCGGGTTGGCAATCGGCACCACGTCAATGTGCCCGCACAGCAGCGCCGGCTTCAACGATTCATCCTTGCCTGCAGGCACAACAAGCACAGACAAAAAAATGGGGAGGGGGGGGGGCCGCGACTTGGCGTGAGCAGTGACCACCATGCAACCGAATGCGTGCACTGTTCGTGTGTGTGTATATGTGTGTGTGTGTGTGTGTGTGTTATATGCGAAGCACGACCGGCGTCCGCACCTGGGAATCGGTAGAGCAAGCTGTACTCTGCCAGCACTTCGCGCTGCACAGGCGAATCCTGGTGATGAATCAACGGAAACCCTGCGCGCGCGTGTGTGTATGTGTGTTTGTTGCTGGTTATTGTGTGCTGAGAAACATTGCGTGGTGGAGCAAAGTGTAAAATGTAATTGTGCTCAGCAACCCAGTCAGAAAGCAAGTGAGCAAGTGAGCCAGCACAACTTCAAACAAACAAAAGCACACACACACACACACACACACACACACACACACACACACACACACACACACACACACACACACACACACATCACGCACGTTCTTGCAGAACTTCGCGGACGCGTGCATGACCGGTTGCGTTTCCATGGCGCTGTCGGAATGAGATGGACCGTTGTTGGATCATGGCCCTCAACGTCTCAATCCTCTCCTCTGTTGCTTCGAGATAGTCCAAGTCTGTCTTCTTGCATGCCTCCGGATGCATCTGTTTGTGCATGTGAACGGGGGAGGGTGTGTATGTGTTTGGTTGTGCGATCGAGTGATTAAGTGATCGAGTGATTGACCAAGCAGGAACACATGCAAGCAAGCAAGCAGTGTTGTCCTTGTCATCTGCACGTGTGCACACACAGACACAGGCACAGACACAAACATACAACCACAGACACAGACACAGACACAGACACAGACACAGACACAGACACAGACACAGACACAGACACAGACACAGACACAGACACAGACACAGACACAGACACAGACACAGACACAGACACACACACACACACACAGAGAGACACACACACACACACACACACACACACACACACAGACACAGACGCACAGACGCACACACCTGCAGGCTACGGGCTGTGAGGGCGCGTGCGACCACGACCGCCGCCACCGCCGCGGCACACAGCAGCACTACTCGCGTCACCAATCCCTTTGTCCTCATCATCATCTTCGTCATCCCCAGTGGCATTGGCCTATAAATAACCATAATCACTATAAAAAGGACACTACACCCTTGGCATTCCACCAACAAAACGCAAAAGAGGACAACACCCCCACAACAGCGCTCGCGAGCTAGCAACCCAACTGGCCGACGGGCTTGCTTGCTTGCCCACCACAAGCGCAAACTCACGCCGCCCACGCCCACACACGCGTTTTCGTTCATTCAACGGCGTGGCTGTGCTGGTAAGGGAGCACGAAGAAGCGCTTGAAGAACGACAAAGCAAGCAAAAGCAAGTGGTGAGAGGATCCTTCCCTCACCATTTGTTGTTGTTGTGCCTTTACCACGTGTGTGCCCTCTTTATCACACCCCCCCCCCCCGTTCTTTGACTGTTTGTTTGTTTGGGCTGCCTCTTCTGGCTGCATTCATTTTGACAAGAAGATCTTCTCCTCACACCGAGGTGCTGGCTATCCTCTCGTGCCCAAATGCGCCTGCAGAGAGAGAAAGGGAAGCAGCACGGCATGGACGACTTGACGGAGCTGCCGACGCTGTCGGAGCAGACGATCCTGGACACGCTTCAGGACCGCTTCGCTCAGGACCGCATCTACGTACGTATCCTCACTGCCTGCGTGCGGCATTGTTTGTGGTATCGCTGGCTGGCTCACAAAATGACCTCGCATGCACTCGCGCTTGTTGTACACAGAGAGAGCGCGCACACACACATGCACACATCAACTCACGCCTTGTCGCTCTTCGCTTCTGCAGACTTGCATTGGCGACATTCTCATTGCCGTAAACCCGTTCAAGCCATTGCCCATTTACGATGATGAGCACGCAAACAAGTACACAAATTCAACCGCTGCAGCGCTGCCGCCCCACGTCTTCCGCACAGCAGACCGTGTATACAACGCCATGTGTCAAAGCCACAAGTCGCAGGTGTGTCGTCGTCGTGCACAACGGGTAGCATGTGCGTTGTGTGAATGCGCGTGTGCGTTGTGTGAATGCGCGTGTGCTTGTGTGTGTAAGTGTGTGTGTAAGTGTGTATGTGTGTGTGTGTGTTCGCGCGAACTTGAAAGACCATGACTACGGCTTACGCGTTCCCTTGCGACCGCTCGTGGGGTGCAGGTGTGTGTCATCAGCGGCGAGAGTGGCGCTGGCAAAACCGAGACGTCCAAGCTGTTCATGCGGCATCTTGCACATTTGTGCAAACACCACAGCATCAGGGACACCGACGAGCCACTGCACGATCGCATTTTGAAGGTGCGTGCGTCTGTGTATGTGCAGTGTGTGCGTGTGTTGTGTGTGTGTATGTGCAGTGTGTGTGTATGTGCAGTGTGCGTGTGTGTGTGCATGTGTGTGTGTGTGTGTGTGTTCTCCTGGTCGTCTCCGTCCCCTCCTCATACGAGCGCGTTCAATGGGTTTTCGCAGACGAATGTGATTCTGGAGACGTTTGGCAACGCAGAGACGAAGATGAACAACAACTCCAGCCGGTTTGGCAAATACGTTGACCTCATCGTGAGTCCACTGTCATGTGTTGTTCGTGTGCAAGTCTCTCATCTCACCCCTGTGCCTCTTCCTTTCCACCCACGTGGCAAGAGGGTGTTCGCATTTGTCACAACAGCCACCGCAATGGTCTTCGCTACTACCACCATCATACCCCATCACAACCTGTACCATCATACATCATCAATGCCCATTCGAGCCCCTCATACCCGCCACCACCACCACCACCACCACCACCACCACCACCACCACCACACCCTTCCTCTCTGATGCTTCTGCAGTTTGGGCGGGGCGGGGAGCTGAAGGGCGCCACCATTCGCCACTACCTGCTCGAGAAGTCGCGCATCACGCTGCAGACACCCGACGAGCGCGGCTACCACATCTTCTACCATGTGCTCGCTGGCCAGGATCCCTGGTTTGAGCAGCTGCCTGTGCTGCCGCCGCAGGAGTACCCCTATCTCCGCTGGCCCGACACAGAGTGGTCACCCATCGTCCCCTGGCCAGACGTCATGGTGCGCTCGCGTGTCGTGCATGTGTAGTCGTTGCAATAGTTGTAATAGTTGTTGTTGTTGGGTTTGTAGCTGTGTGTGTGTGTGTGTGCGTGTGTGTGTGTGTGCGTGTCTGTGTGTGTGTGTGTGGTAGTAGCAGTCGTTGTTGCTATTGTTGTTGGGGTTGTAGTTGTGTGCGTGCGTGCGGTGAAGTGCCCGCTCTCCTCGTCATCGCCAACACCACCATCCCCTCCAATTCCCCCATTGTCAGGATGCGCTGGAGACGGTTGGCTTTGCACGTGATGAGATCCCAGCCATCATGCGTCTCGTGCTCGCTGTTCTTGAACTTGGACGCATCGACTTTGACGAGTCGAGTCCAGACGTCAGCCAGGTCGCAGACACGCAGGTACGCGCGCACAACGAGTGTGTGTGTGTGTGTGTGTGTGTGTGTGTGTGTGTGTGTGTGTGTGTGTGTGTGTGTGTGTGTGTGTGTGTGTGTGTGTGTGTGTCGTGTCGTCGTCGTCGT